AGAGAGAGAGAGAGAGAGAGAGAGAGAGAGAGAGAGAGAGAGAGAGAAAGAAAAGAAGAGGGAGGGAAAAGGAGGGAGAGGAGGAAGGAAAAAAATTAAAAAAGGAAAACCCAATACATTAATTATTTCCTGGTCCAGGGGGCTGCTGGTGCTCCAGTCATTTGATCTATAAGCCGTTTGAAGCCGCCTGGAAATGCCACAGGATTGAGTCACCGGCACACATAGCTGAACGAGGTTGGGAACGTTAGTTGGGCACGCTACCATAGAACTGGGGTTCTGCAACAAGGCAAAGAGGCAGTGGCAGCCTGTGTACACTCCTGGTGGTACAGCCTTGGTTCTGTCCTCAGGACCTGCAGCAACCAAGGCTCCACTTTGGTTGTGTGCCTGTGGGGACTTGCAGAAGTCAGACTAGCTCTTTCTAGAACCACACAAGGTTCTAGAAAGACAAGGGAAAAGTGATGAGAGCTGCAGCGCTCACCATGTTGCAGGAAATGGTGAGGCGATTAGGGAATGAAAGCCGTTAGGCACGGTGAACCACACATCGTAACAAGCACCCTAAAAGTGCATCTGGATATGCAGATGAACATACCAAAATACGGTGGACTCTGCTAAATGCCAGGTATTTGAGGGTGCTCTGAGGGGAGGCACCATATATGACTTCTGATGGAATGAGTGGATTTGGGTGATGTTCTGTTGTGTGGGAACAAGAGCCGGACAGGCCACAGTGGGAGAGAAGGCAGCTTGAGAGACAGGTGGGCAGGGTGTATCCCTGAGAGACTGAAAGCATTGCTGGAAAGTTGAAGCATGGCCTGTGAGGTGTGGAGGGGTCAGATATAAGCCTGGGGGTTAAGCTCAGACTCACGAACAGTGGGAGATTGCTTAATTATTGGGGGGGGGCAAATAGATCAGGATCTACCTGAGTATCCCTGGCTGACCTGAAACTCACTATGTGGGCCAGGCTGACCTGGAACTTGGAGATCCGCTTGCCTCTGCCTCCCAAGTACAAAAATTAAAGGTGTGCACCAGCACCCCTGGCAAGCATTGCTTGTTTGTGAGACAGGGTTCTGGTGTGTAGCCAGGGCTAGGCTGAACTCAAAGTAGTCTTCCCACCTCAGCTCCTAAATGCTGGGATTATAGATGAACGCCAATGTATTCGTTACTTTCCTACTGCTGTGTAAAGGACTGGGCTCAAGACAACTTGCACAAGAGTGCATTTGGGGCTTATGGCTCCAGAGGGTTGGAGTCCACGCTGGTGGGGCAGAAGAAGCAGGTAGCAGGAGTCCAGAACTGTATCTATGGACGTAGATCTTGAATTGCAAGCTGCACACAAAACACAAGAGACCTGGCGTGAATTGTTTGAAACCTTCACCACACCCCCTGTAACCTCTCCAAACAGCCACCAACTGGGGACCAAGTACTCAAATACCTAAGACTTACAGGGGACGCCCCACCCAAGCCACCGCAGCCACCATGTCTGGTTCACCGCAGTGTTTTCAGCAGGGCTCACATTTCAGCGAGGTCACTTTGGTTGTGGTGATCATGAATGGATCCAAAGGAGATAGTTTGGGAGGCTAGAGAGCTGGCTCAGTGGTGAGCAGAGAACTGGTTGCGCTTCCAGAGGACCCAGGTTCAAGCCTCAGTACACACAGCTGCTCATAACTAACCACCTGTAACTCCAGTCCCAGGGGCTGTGATGCCCTCTGCTGGCCTCCAAGAACACAGACACACACGGTGCACAGATACGCATGCAGACGAAACTCTCACACCCATAAAACAAAATAATAAATTAAAAAGTAAAATTTAAAATGTTTTTTAAAATAAAAAATTTGGGGGTTCTAGA